CGCCTGGTGAGCTGGTAGACGCTGACAGACGCTAGATTGATACCTAGACTTCCCCAGCCTTTGAGACGTTGGCAGGCCCTGGAGAACGCTGGCAGACGCTAGATCGATATCTATACTTTCCTAATCGCTGACGCTGCCGGACGCTCGGAACGCTGGTGGACGCTATTGGTCGCTGGTGGACGCTGCCGCAAAGTATGAACGCAGCCTTAGAGGATCTTAGTCCCAACGATCGGACAGGAAGATCGTAAAAAAAAGCAGGAGAAAAGAAAAGTTGCAGTGGGGCTTATACAGTGAGTGAGATCAATTGCAATAAATGCAGACTTGTTCGCTGCGACTCTGAAGCGTTTTAGGAGGGTTGGCTTCGACACGGCGCCAGCAAATTCTTCACCAATTGTGGGAGCCGGCAGGTATCACAATTGCCTGCCAGCTCTCAAATTTAGCTGGCGACGCGTTACAGCCAGCCTTCCGTAAACTCTTTAAGATCCGCAGCCAACAAAACTGCCCATATTGTTTTACTGTTAGCTTCCACATCTAATACGATAATACGAACCACTCACGATTTTTGGAGAACTAGTCTTACTTTAATTTTTTTTATTTCACTGTCTCTACAAAACTCTAGCAGTCTAATAAACTAATTTGTTACAGTCGAGCGGAAAAGGAAAAGCTGCACCGAAAGCTGAACAGAAGTCAGAACCAGTGAGTTTGTTGTTCTTCTGACAGCTGACACACGTGCGTAAGGAAATTGTGTCGGTCATAGCCGTACAGATGGGAGGCTCTCCCTCGAGGGGATGAAGGATAAAGTCTCCGCCGTTGATCAATCCCTTTGTGGGATGCGGCACGCATTCTACTTCCATTCAGAATCGTAGTGGCTTATTGAATGCGATGTGGCCTATACAATGACTTGCGGGGCCAGCCGATGTACAAGTCAGTGTTTTATCCTCCCAGACGAATCTGGTACCAATTTACCGTCCCCGGAGGGTAGAAGGCTTGGTTGGCCTGGGCGGGAGTCGACCCGGGATTTGAACCCAGGACGCAGGAGTGGTAAGCGCGCCACTTGTCACTACACTACACCATGTCCGCCTCAATCGTGATTATACATTTCGACGTGATCCCATGTGGGGATCACGTTGGAATTGACGTATAGTTGAAGACTGTGCGGCGCATCCAGCTTGTCGAATAACTCGTCCAGACTGCAAACTGATGGATTTCTCTGAGTGATGGCCTAAATAAAGCCGCTGACGTTGGTGTCTCTGGCGCCTGCTGGGAACCAGGGTGGCTCAGTAAAGCTGCTTTCATACTTTCGAAACCTTCGCTAGTGTATACCGCATAGCTTTTCGAAACCTTTTTCCTCAAGTGTCTACGAGCGCCCACTTGGTGTCTCTAGCGTCTAAGGCGTTACCGACAAGAACGCCTGCTATAGATATCGATCTACCAGTCTGCCAGCGTCTGCGACGCGCTTCTGTCAGCGTGCACCAGCGTCTCGAGATCTAGGGGAGAGTACCGATTTAGCGTTGGGTTCTCAACACAATCTGTCAGCCGTCTACCAGCGTCCACGCAGCAGTTACGCGGCGAGTAGAGAGTATAGGGAAGTAGGAAGGTAGGCCAAACTGAATGGATCAGTAGCGCGTGAAATTGGCGTGTGCTCGCACCCAGCAACAAGCCGCTAAAGCACAGAATCATGCAGTTTAATGTGGGCGGGTATAGGAGTTATACGGTTGCCGGTTGCACACGCCGCATTACCACGACGTATAATTCAGAGCTGTACTACTCGCATCCTAACTTCGGCCTCATACTTTATAATTTCCCGGTTGCTGATGACCGCTGGCGGACACTAGGTCTATATCCATTTTTTCCTAGTCCCTCGAAACGCTGATGGTCGCTGGCGGACGCTGGTGGACGCTGATGGACGCGGCTAGATCGATATCTATACTTTCCTAGTCGCTGACGCTGATGGACGCTCGAAACGCTGATGGTCGCTGGGGCATGAATGAACGCAAGAATTTTTCCCCAGTCGCGGCCACCTCGCAAACTCCCAAGTTGACTTCGAGAGATAGAGTCGAAAGCATAAGTGCCACGTCAGAGGGTTGGGTCCTCGGTGTGGTCAACTAAGCGCTCGGAGAAGTCTACATGGATGTTAAAATAGTTTCAAAAGAACGCAGTTGGACCATAAGCTTATAAACGCTAGCGAATAGCCACTTAGGGAGAACTGCACGGATTTGTATTGTGACCAACTGTGCTGGCTCGCAGGAAAAAGAAAAAGACATCCCAGCACTAGGAGTTTGAAAAATCAAAACGCGATCGCAAAACGGTAGCCGTCCCCCAAAAAAAAAAAAAACCGCTTTGTTACGTAGTTGTTGAATATTTGTTTCTTGATAGCTATTCTCTTTCGATGAGCTGAAAGCATTGTTGGGAATGGAGACCTGGCCGAACGCCATCAAACTTGTACGCCACCATTTCGTAGTTCGCTAACGAATTTGGGGAGGGAAAAGGGCCAGCCTGCAAACGGCGGCTACCCGCACCCGCCGGCATCTCTAATTCGCCTGTGCCTGTCACTATGCATGGTCGATGGGTTTGTTTGAGCCCCTTATAAAAAAATGGCCGTAATTCGGAGTCACGTCACTGGCGAACAGCTCAGCAGTGGCTTCAGCTACGGTCTTCCTCTGGGTGGTTTCAAGGAGTCTCAGGTTGGCGCGGTGCCAAGCAGCTGTCCTCAGCCAAGTTTAGAAGTTGGCAGACCGGACGAAGACACAGACTGGTGGACAGCACATCGGCGACTGCAACTAACGCAGCACCCTTGAGCGCCCCGGCGTCCGCAGAGAACAAGACTGACTAAGCCACGAAGCGTCGGTATGCACTACTTCTAGGGAAAAAAGCTTTCTGGGGTCTCCGTCCTACGTTCCCATCTTAGGCCGCATGATTCGAGCTTACTATGACCATTTCTGAATCAGTAGAGTTCTTGTTCGCCCCCGGCTTCATATTATCAAATCGGCAACGTTTTTGATTTTGAGCAACCCAGTGAACTGCCGGACGAAGAAAACAAGCAGGGTAAAAGGAAATTCAAACCACCGCCGAATATCACAAAAGCCGACGCAAAAGATCCGCAATATGAGGTTAGTATTTCCTTACCTTTGCTGGAATTCGCCACACTTATGGAGCACTTTTGTGCTACTATTCAAAATTCCGAAACATCCAAATTTAAACGTATCCAAAAATTAAAAAAAAACGTTTTCAAGACGCTACGTGGAATCGGTAACGAGTTGTTTGCTGGCGATAAAGACAAAGAGAAAAATGAAGAAGTGAAAGAAGTGAAGAAAGAGGGACCTTCAGCAGAAGGACAGCAGGCACAAGCCCAGGCTGCAAAAAAGTTCAAACAGCCACCCAAGGTTTGTCGGAGGGACACTGTGAAGAGGATGTGGGTCAGGAAGTCCAAATTACAGCATACGCATTGCGGACAGCAGCGCGCACGGTGACTGAGTTCTACGCTTCTATATCTCCTACCCACTCAAATAAAATATCGAGTAGCATTTCCGTTATACGTCGCGCTAGAAGAAATCGGCAGCGACTAGCCTCAACGTAGAGATGAACTATACCATAGTTGCAACAGTGGTGCCCTCCCTCAGCTTCAGATTTTCTTATTTCAGGTAGCCTTAGTTTTGAGTTCCAGTCTTGTTCGATGCGTGTCAGGAGGACTGGTTCGGTGCGACGCCAGCCAGTTTTCGCCGACTTGGCCGCCTGCCAGTTTCCACAGGTTGCGGAAAACGCAATGGCTTCACCCCTAACCCAGCTCCCCCTCCCCACCCCTACCCAACGAAACTGCATATCACTTACGTTGCGGCAGACTAGCAAATGCCTCGTTTCAGTTGCAGTGCGATTTCGCAGCGTGTGATGCGTGTTGGGAACGAGCGAAGGCTCCTTACGGGAAGCTCGTTTCGAGGCGGCAAGCCAATACCATTCCATAGCGCACGCGGCGTAATCTTTCCGGTTCGCTGAAGCTCTCCGTAATCCGCGCGCGCACGTCACTTGCGACGCCGCACCATCGCAACGTGGACCTCCTGACCAACATTTGAACGCCACTTATCCTATGTTCAAAGGGATATTTATCGATGCGTAGTAAGTGATCTTATGAATTTAGGTACAAAAAGTTGACGCAAAAGATCCGCAATATGAAACACTGGCTGATGTTAAAGACGACATTTTTAAGGGATAGCATTTCAACGTTTAATGCTTATAATAAACATCAAGCAAGTCTTTGCACATGTTACAAAAAGTCCGACAACCAATTCGTTTATCGCGCCATGCGGTGAATTTGCATTCGAAATCGCTGGCGCATTTGAAGTGCTTACCGTGTTCTACAAGACAACCGATATTTGACTGATTTTCTACAAGGCAAGTCTTCGACAAGATCTTGGCTTAGGATAAAAAGGATAGAGGATGAGGGCGCAGTTTGTCGACGGGGGGCATTTTGCACTTTTGCTACTTCCCATCGACGTGTCGGCCTATCTAGACAGCCTCTTCTCGAGTTGACAGGTTTTAACATGATGGCTTGATTACCTTGTTCCAGCTTCACAAGAGTTCACAGGTTTCGCCAGAGTGAGACACCGGAACTGAGGAAGCAATGATAGTGCAAAATGCCCCCCGTCGACAAACAGCGCCAAGGATGAGACTTTTGACGTTGACCAATAATTTATAGGGTTATGTCATGCAGGTACGAGACAAGACAACTGTAATTCGCCGCGCTGGAGGGCGCCGCGTGCGTCTCGTCCACAAAGCACGATGTTTTTAGGTCGTGGGTGGTACTGATAGGGAATGAAAGAAAGGCCAAAGAAAGTCACTTTTCTTC